ATACTTGTACACTAATGTCTGTTGTGATAGTTAAACGGTAGAAATACCTGAGAAGAATGGATGAACATACATTGCATTATTATCCAGGCATAAAAAATAATGTTATGTTATAGTACAACATGGATGAACCTTGAAATTATGCTAGGTGAAATAAGCCAGACATAAAAGGATGAGACTAGGATTCCACTTATATAGAAAGTAGAATAGAGGTTACTGTAGGATGGAGAGGCAGGAATGGAGAGTTATTTCCTGCTGGGTACCAGATTAGCTTACCATAATGAAAGGTTTTAAAAATAGATGGTTATTTAAAATGTACTTAATACCACTTATACATTTAAAAGTAGTTGAAATAATGGGAACAGACTTTCAGTCTGGGATGATGAAAAAGTATTAAAGATGGTGGTGATGGCTGCACAACAAAGCAAATGAACTTAATGCCATTGAATCATACACTTAAAATGGTTAAAACAGTTAATATTCAAACGGGGCATGGTGGCTCACACTTGTGATCCTAGCATTCTGGGAGGTCAACGGCAGATGGCTTGCTTGAGCCCAGGAGTTCAAGACCAGCCTGAGCAAGAGCAGGAAAACTAGCTGGGCATTGTGGAAGGCGCCTGTAGTTGCAACTACTTGGGTGGCTGAGGCAAGAGGATCCCTTGAGTCCAAGAGCTCTGTGAGCTGTGATGCCATTGCACTCTACCCAGGGCAACCAAGTGAGACTTGGTTTCAGAAAAAAACAAAAGGTAAATTTTGTTTAAATTTACCTTTTTTCACAATTAAAAGAAAAAATGTATAAAAAGTCACACTCCTCTAGTAGAGAAAAGTTAATAGGCCTATACTAGGGTTTCTTAATAGTAGCACTAAGACATTTTGGGCAGGATAATTCTTTGTTGTGAGAGGATGTCCTGTGCATTAATAGGGTGGTTAGCAGCATGCCTGACCTTCCAGAATTGTCAAATGACCCCTGAGGGAGGGGGCCACAATATTCCTGAGCATTGAACCACTGACCTGTACTAACTTTGCTGACTAGGTGGGCATTGTCTGAAAGTTTGCTCTATTCCTCAGCTCAGCCCTCATTAGTCTCCCATTGATAAGGGAAGTTTATTGGTTTCATCACACGCCACATGGATGGTCACTTTTCAAATAAAGTTACCTTGTGAGTGCTGTTTCTCCTACTTTGCCCCCAGGAGAGAAGCCATTTCAGCATGAGGTTTCTTTCTCCATGTTTTGACTAAGTTCATCCCCACCCCATCTGTTTTTTGTCTTGCCTGGAGATGTGATGGAATCAAATAAGACAAAGATGACAATGGTTTAACAAAATTCTTTAATAAAATTTATAAAAATGTATTTCTGAGAATAATTTCTCAGCCTGAATTGTTTTCCTTTTCCACCCCCAAAGAAAATACAAAATTATTAGCACCCACACGCATACACTCAAAACTACATTGACATTCTCTATACAGAACTCTATTAGACATAGCTTAAACTGCAGATAAATCAAGATAATTCGAAGACGTGATTGCAGAGTTGATTTTTTTCTTCAAAAACATTTGACAGACAGTAAAGCTATTTTAATAAAACTCTTTCTTACAGTTGTCAAGAGGTGAAATAATTTGCACTGTGAATTTACAAAAAGATCCAAATTAAGATCCTCTCTACCCCCACACTTCCCCTTGCATAACATCCATTAGGGCCATGTTTTCTTCCTGCTTCTAAGAAAAAAAATCAGAATTTCTAATATTCTCAGCATTCTATGTGCACTTGGAATTAGGCAAATGTGTTCAGATCAGTCGGCATTTTCTATAAACAGCATCAAAAGCAGGCACTTGGGGGTTCTGGACGTCAGGAACAAACCATGCTATAAGGATCCTGGGTAGTGAACAAGTGTTGACATTTCTCCATTTTTCCAGAATTTTCAGAGATGAGGTAGATCCACCTCAATCATCCTCAGCATCAGTTTGCTAAACTTACAGCTCAATGACAAGCTCTCCTGCCATCTCTTCATCCACTTTTCCTATTTCCCCTCTGTCTTTGGCGCGTTTCTTTAGGCACTATTCTCTGTCTCAGAATGTATTGCTTCTTGTCTCCGTGTTAAAAAACAAACATTAAAAGTTAAGTGGCACCTGAAAACTCATCACATTTTCTGGCCAGGTCTCCCTGTTTAGAACCAAAGTACCCCATAATGACGGACATTCACATAATAAAAAACACTCTTACTCAGAACAAGTAAATGGATAAACGCCATCTCAAGTTATGTGCTCAAGAGATGAAATGGGAAACCATTAAAGGATTTTAGAGTATACAATATCCAGGCAAGACGAGGCCAGACCAAGATGCAGCCTAAAAGGGCTTGGTAATTTCTGCACCAGAGGACTGCCATCTGGGGCAAAGTGATATAATTCAGGAGTAAGAGTGAATGCTAGGACATGGGACACCAGTGCAGTGATGGGGAAGGAAGGATATATAAAAAAAAGGTGGGGGGGGGGAGGGATTGTTTTTAACATACACAAAACAAGAGACCTAAACTGACTCCTCCCCTTCTTTTTTAAAATGAGACAAACCCACTTAAGGCAATCTGCATGTTGCTGGCAGAACCTTCTGAGTCTAAAGTTGTTCTTTTGAAATATTAAAATTACTCATGTAAGGAGTGATGAAAGAAAAAAGTAAAGATTCAAGGAGTAAGGTGAAACCTTTCTAACACACACAGATTAGAGCTATAAAGTGGAAATTAAACTATTCTAACTGCATCACTGATCAGTCTCTTTTTTCCCAGAAACTCATCTCCAGTGAAGGGAGGTAAAAATCTGCCAGCAACACAATTTCTGCTTTTCCATCCCACAGGTCTAGGGACCCAGCTCTCGAGTCTCCTAGTCATCCTCGCCGCCTCCGTACATATCTGCCAGCTTCTTGAAGCGATTGCCCCATTCGTTCAGGTAGTCATAGTCCTGGTCTTGGTCTGACTCCTCTGAGTTCAGAGAGCTCAGACTAGCAGCTTCAGAGCCGCTTCCTTCATAGTCAAACACGAGCAGAGAGTCATAAGGAGGTGCCGTGGGGTCACTATCAGCTGCCTTCAGATTCTAAAGAAGGGGAACAAAAGGATCTTTCAGTGACAGGGAGGGTACACTTGTCATCTGAGGTGAGAAACCTTCTCTTGGTACCTTAAGCAACACATAAGACTTGACAATGTGGCCAGACTGTAGAACACCGCAGAGCAGCCAACACCAATAGGATGCATTTATAGAAATGGCACACAAAGATGGACGTGAGGTATTATTGGTAAAAGGTCACAGGAAAATGTGCATAATGTTTTCTTCTTAAACCAAAATGATATATTATGTGAAGGCAGGGGAGCTCTAAGAACTGACCCATCAAGCCCTCACAAATTGGGGTGGGGGTTCCATACCACTAGTCAGGATGAACAGAGGCTGAAGACAATAAGGACAGTCATACTGGTGCACGCAGGCTGCATTTCAGCCCAGAAAGGTCTGGAAGGATGAACACCAAACTGATATTCATGATTGTCAATTATGGAGAGTGAGGGGATGGAGGAACTGAAGAATAATTTATTTATAACACATTTTCATAATTCATATTTTTAAAATAGTAAGCAAAGCATACTATTTTATAATTTAAATACAAACTACAGATCAATGTGATGACTTGCAATGAATGTGAATGGAGAAAAGGAACTGAATCCAGATGTATCTGACAGGGATGATGCTGGGCATGGTGGCTCACGCCAGTAATCCCAGCACTTGGGAGGGTGAGGTGGGAGGATGACTTGAGGCCAAGAGGTCAAGACCAGCGTGCACAATATAGCAAGACCCTGTCTGTACAAATAATTGAATAAATAAAAGGGACGGCTAAATTGGTCCTTTCTGTTCCTTGTTTTGTCATAAGATCCAGTGGCTAGAGCAGATGTGGCTTGATCATTTCCAACACTGCAGTGCCTCTGGTGACAGTAACTCACATAGGAAACTCTATCAGGCCACTGGGCCATTAGAAAAGCCATAAAATCATTCCAGTAACTGAGCAAGTGATTAGGGTAACATAGTTTAAGAAAATAGATCCTGCCAGGTTATTGCTTTACTGGGATTCCTTCTTCTAATTTAATTAGCTTAATGACTTATTATTCTCTCTTGCAGATAGTGACAATTGTGACAGTTCTGGTCAATTAATATATTGGACAAACTCCTTTCTTAAATAAAAAGACAGACAGTTTGGGCCAGGCCCAGTCCCTCATGCCTATAATCTTAGCACTCTGGTAGGCCGAGGCAGATGTATTGTTTGAACTCAGGAGATTAAGACCAGCCTGAACAAGAGCGAGACTCTGTCTCTACTAAAAATAAAAAAAACTAGCCAGGCATTATGGTGGGTGCCTATAGTCCCAGCTACTCAGAAGGCTGAGGCAAGAAGATCAATTGAGCACAAGAGTTTGAGGTTGCTGTGAGCTAGGATGCCACAGCACCCTACCCAGGGCACAGAGTGAGACTGCTTTTAGGAAAGAAAAAGAAAAAACATTTGCTAGAAGAAAAAAATTTATGCTCTTCTTTGCCCTTCCTAATTCTTCCTGGCTGGAATACAGATCACAAATGATAGCCATCTTGTGATCACGAGGCCATAGCATGAAAACAAGGATCTAGGCTTGGTGCCTGTAGCTCAAGTGGCTAAGGCACCAGCCACAAACACCTAAGGTGGCGGGTTCGAATCCAGCCTGGGCCTGCCAAACAACAATGACAGCCGCAACCAAAAAATAGCCGGGCATTGTGGTGGGCACCTGTGGGCCCAGCTACTTGGGAGGCTGAGGCAGGAGACTTGCTTGAGCCCAGGAGTTAGGTTGCTGTGAGCTTTGATGCCACTGGCACTCTATCCAGGGGGACAGCTTGAGGCTCTGTCTCAAAAAAAACAAACAAACAAAAAACAGGTATCTACATGCTAAGAAAAGTGGATTAGTCTGACTTACCAATGTGGACTGGCCTGATGCACCAGCCTAGACTGCTTACCCAGCTTACCATCAGCACAAGGTATACCTACTCCAACTATTTCAGCTTCTCATATTTACAACTGAATGCACTTGTGACATATGCAATATGGATGCTATTGTTCTGGTCCTCAGGTAGACTTGTGATACACATTTAGCATCATTTAATATTATACAAGAATACAAGGAAAACTTAGTGAAACCAAACTGAATTGTAAATCTCTTTAGTGTCATTTCTGGATCTACTAAATCCTCTTAAGCAAGTCTTGGGTTTGCCATATGGACTTTGCAGACTCACTAAGTCTAATATGAAGTGCTATTAGTTCTGAAATTCAGATGAGACACAAATTAAAAATAGGGCTTGGGAATCAGGTGAGCTGAAAATATGATAAGGAGGACAATCTAAAGACCCCCCCTTTTCTCAGTTTTGACAAAAATGCTTCTTTCTGAGTTCAGAGATAAACTGTGCCTTGGCTTTTGACTTCACTTACTTCATCAATAAAATTTCCAATTTCATCAGGATTGGCAGGGCGGGGACGATACTGGGGCATAGTGAGGAGGGTTGGTGCCACATCGTTGCGAGTCACTTCAGGCCGAGCATCCAGGCCCCTGTGCAACTGGCTCAAGTCAAAGTCCTTTGGAGCAAAAGATAAAAGTATAACAAAGAGTAAGCATCAGTCATAGACACAAGGCTGTGTTTGGTTTATAGGTTACATTATTGCGATGGTGCCTTAACTGCCAACTGTATGATATTTACCAGCTTGTGCCCAATTTAATATAAAATAACCATTTTAAGATTAAAAGCCTCTCACAGAACACTAGAAGAAAATATAGTCCAAATGGATTGTGAGTAGCACGTGTGAGTTATTTTGACTTATTAACTTTTCATAGGACATGATGGTGTCAGATTATTCATCAAATATGTGTTCCTTCCCCACCCTAGCCTGTTAGAATATATTGATGATGGCCTTTGTCATGTGACTTGCTTAGAGCATGGGACATTAACATAAGAAACATAGGCAGAAGCTTGAAATATACTAGCTTACAGGTATAAAGATGAGACTTGGATAGAACAGACCTGGGACCTGGACACAACTTGCAGCTTAGAGCCCCAAAACTAAGCTCTGCCTAGACCCCTGAGCCTCAACCATTGCACAGATTCTCGAGCGCCGAATAGCCCCAGCTAACCCATGAACACATGAGAAAGACAGGCACTCTGTGTGCCACACAGACTCTGGGATTTTTTGCTATATTGTTCACTGACACACTATATCTGGTGTTGCCCAACTAGACTTAAAAGTCCCTGAAACCTGGAACAAAACCTTATTTCTCTGTATACCTCTATCTCCCCAAATATGTTGTATATAGCAAGCATTGAAATCCTCATCAGTGGCTCTTTTAAACCGGTGGACCCCAATCCCTGGGCTGTGGACCATAGAACTGGGCGGCATAGGCGGCGCCTGTGGCTAAGTGAGTAGGGTGCCGGCCCCATATACCGAGGGTGGTGGGTTCGCCCCAGCCAAACTACAATAAAAAAACAAAATAGCCAGGCCTTGTGGCAGACACCTATAGTCCCAGCTACTTGGGAGGCTGAGGCAAGAGAATCACCTAAGCCCAAGAGCTGGAGGTTGCTGTGAGCTGTGATGCCATGACACTCTACCAAGGGTGAAAAAGTGAGATTCTGTCTCCAAAAAAGAAAAAAAGAAAAAAGAAACTGGGTGACATAGCAGGAGGTGAGCAGTGGGCAAGCAAGATAAGCATCTGTGGCTATCTCCTGTCACCCACAGATGGGGCTGTCTAATTGCAGGAAAACAAGCTCAGGGCTCCCACTGACTCTGTATTATGGTGAGTTATGTAATTGTCTCATTATATATTACAATGTAATAACAATAGAAATAAAGTGCCCAATAAGTGTAATGCGCTTGAAGCATCCTGAAACCATTCCCCTGCCACTCCCCACCCCATCCATAGAAAAACTGTCTTCCATGAAACCATTCCCTGGTGCTAAAAAGGTTGAAGACTACTGTTCTAGGCCATCAGGCTCAGCAAAAGGCTTGAGGCAAAAGCAGAACTCTGTGACAAGCCCCAGGGTTTCCTTTCTAAGTAGATTCTCTAAGACCTCAAATAGTTAAAACTTAAAGGGAAGCTGAATTAAGACCATCCACAGGCCAAGAACATTTTGATCTAGCTAAAAACTCAAACGTGGCTGGGTGCATTGGCTCATGCCTGAATCCTAGCACCATGGGGTGCCACAGTGGAAAGATCCCTTGAGCTCAGAGTTCAAGACCAGCATGAGCAAGAGCAAGACCGCATCTCTACTAAAAATAGAAAAATTAGTCGGGTATTATGGCAGGCACCTGTAGTCCCAGCTACTTAGGAAGCTGAGGCAGGAGGGTCACTTGAACCCAGAAGGTTGAGGTTGCTGTGAGCTATAATGACATCATGGCACTCTAGCCTGGACAACAGAGGGAGACCCTGTCTCAAACCCTATCTCAGCAAAACTCAAGAGAAATAATATATTAAAACAGACTAGTTGCTTTATGTTGAAGATTACGTACTAGTTTACAAGTACAATGAAGTTCATGTCTTGAGAATAGTGATGAGGAGTGTAGGCTCTGGAGCCAGACCACTTGGCTCTACTGCTTCCTACCTGTGTGACTTCGGGCAAGTTATTGAACTGCTGCTATTTGCCTCAGTTCACTTGTCTGGGTACTGAACAATGAGCAATAAATATTAGCTCTATTGATGATGATGATGACGGTGGCCAATGGCAATGTCTATTTTTTGTGAGTAAGGCCTTAAGAACATAGTACACAAAGTGACACAGAGCTATTTCTTTTTTGAGACAGAGTCTCACTCTGTTGCCCAGGCTACAGTGCTGTGGCATTAGTCTAGCTTACAGCAACCTCAAACTCCTAGGATTAAGCAATCCCCCTGCCTCAGCCTCCCACGTAGCTAGGCTAACAGGTGCTCTCCATGATGCCTGGCTAATTTTCTACTTTTAGTACAGACAGAGTCTCGCTCTTTCTCAGGCTGGAAAAGAGCCATTTCAGTTGTCTGCCTTCTCCTAATCATTGCTTCTTACAAATAAAGGGATTGCCACTGAGCTATCTTGGTTGTTTTTTTTTTTTTTTTTTTTT